ACCTAGTACCCAGATAGAAGCTTTCTACTTAGTTTTCACACAGATCAGTGAAGATATGCTATTTTCCCTTTTAGAGAACAACCCTTTTAGATCTGATCTGGTTGCAACAGTAAGTCTTCAAGCACCAAGCACAAGTGCTTTAACTTTCATGACCGGGGCTCAACATTTTGTATTAGTAATAGATGGGTATAATTTAACCAAACCAGGTTCTCTAAAGTCAAAAAATATTTCTAAAGTTAGGACCTTCAATGTGATAATCTCAGAATTTCAACGAAAAATTACACACTAAAATTTCTCCACCAGAGAGAAATGTTCATCACACCTACCACCATATTGTAAGAGACTTCACAGTAAACCAAGCAATTTTTCCTTGCATACCACAGTAAAGTAGGAAGTCTCAGTTCAGGTCCTATAATTTTTCAAAGTAAAATGCATCAGTAAAAACAGGAAGAAAAGGTCACCAATTAATCTGTTTACGCAGATGCTCTTGACTTAAGACGGAGTTATGTCCTGCTAAGCCCATCATAAATTGAAAATACTGTTTTTTTTTTTTTGAGACAGAGTCTCACTGTGTTGCCCTGGCTAGAGTGCCATGGTGTCAGCCTAGCTCACAGCAACCTCAAACTCCTGGGCTCAAGCAATCCTCCTGCCTCAGCCTCCCGAGTAGCTGGGACTACAGGCATGCACCACCATGCCTGGCTAATTTTTTCTTGACAGAAACAGGGTCTCACTCTTGCTCAGGCTGGTTTGGAACTCCTGAGCTCAAACAATCCGCCCGCCTTGGCCTCCCAGAGAGCTAGGATTACAGGCATGAGCCACCGCGCCTGGCCGAAAATACTGTTTTTAAAGTGCATTTAAGCCAGGTGTGGTGGCTCATGCCTGTAATGCTAGCACTCTGGGAGACTGAGGCGGGAGGATCACACGAGGTCAGGAGTTTGAGACCAGTCTGAGCAAGAGTGAGACCCTGTCTCTACTAAAAATAGAAAAATTAGCTGGGTGTGGTGGTGCATGCCTGTAGTCTCAGCTACTTGGGAGGCTGAAGCAGGACAATCTCTTTAGCCCAGGAGTTTGAGGTTGCTGTGAGTTTAGCCCAGGCGACAGAGTGGGACTCTTAACAACAACAAAAAAGAAAGTGCATTTAATACACCTAACCTACTGAACATCATACCTTAGCCTAGACTACCTTAAACATGTTCACAACACTTAAATTAGCCTACAGTTGGGCAAAATCATCTAACACAAAGCCTATTAATAAACTGTTGAATATCTCATGTAATTTATTGAATACTATATTGAAAGTCAAGAACAGAATGGTTGTATGGGTACCCAAAGTACAGTTTCTACTGAATGTGTATTCCTTTTGTACCATTCTAAGGTTGAAAAATACTAAATGGAGTCATCATAAGTTGGGGACCATCTGTACAAGCAGATGAGGCTGGAGATGGGAGGAATCCACTAAGAGTAATCTAAGGTAGCATGATTGCTTGGTTACCTATTCTTCAGATCAGTGTTATTCTACCCGCCTCACCCTCACCCAAAACTACAGGTCTTTAAACAGCTGTGAAATCAGTTCAGTGCAAATGACCTTTTTAAGAAACTGAAATAGCATACTGTAGATGAGACAGTATCAGAGAGTTTTGCACATTTGTTTAGTGAAACTTGTTTCAATGGATGTACAGGGTCAGTGTAAAATGTTAATATATTTCTTACTGAGGGTCAAAGTCAAAAAAGTTTGAGACACTGATTCAAAAGAATCTCAGGAATGGAAAGAGGCTTAAATCAAGTGAAAAATGTAAGAAGCATCTGGGGCAAAGTCTACTTTCTTCAAAAACATAATTGCCATTATTTTAGGAAACAAAACAAACACAAGATGCAACCAATTGTATGTTTAAATTGCAAGAAATGGTAAAAAACCTTAATGAAAATTTCCTTTTATCCAGTGGAGTAATGATCCATTCTATATCTGAAGAGATAAACATTAGGATTTAGTGATCCATTTACCACCCATCTTCTCCCACCTTTACCTAATGCCATCATCATACACTACAGCCTAGAACTCCCAGGCTTAAGCAATCCTCCTGCCTCAGCCTCCCGAGTAGCTGGGACTACAGCCTCATGTTACTGAGTCCAGCAAGCTCAAGCATTTTAGATTAAGGGTTTTCAACCAAGGGAGATTTCAATACCCCTCCCTCCCTTTTTGCAATGTCTGTCTTGATTGTCATAAATGGGGGTATGGGGAGAAGTGAGATGCTACTGGCATCTAGTGGGTCAAGGCCAGGGATGCTGCCAAACATTTTACAGTGCACAGATGCACAGGATACCCACCCACCCTCTCAATGAAGAATTATGTGGCTCAAAATATCAATAGTGCTGAGGTTGAGAAACTCTGCTGTAGATCAAGATTGTATTCCTTTCAAACCTAAATAAATCCAAGACAGATACCCTTAACTCACATCCCTTTAGCTCTTAGAAGCTCAGCAACTGCATTATTAGCATATCTACAAACAGGTTTATAACCAAGTATAAAATATAGGTGTGTCCTTTTGCAAGTGCCAGAGAACATGGCAATCTCTCTTCATTATAAGCTTCACTAAAATCATTTGTATTTGATATAAAGTCAGAAAAGTCTTTGGCGCATGCCTGTAGTCCCAGCTACTTGGGAGGCTGAGGCAGTAGGATTGCTTGAGCCCAGGAGTCTGAGGTTGCTGTGAGCTAGGCTGACACCATGGCACTCACTCTAGCCAGGGCAACAAAGTGAGACTCTGTCTCAAAAAAAGAAAAAAAAAGAAAAGTCTCTAATTCTAAGTGTACTTCATATATAGTTGATTTTCTTACAGTATTTAAATATTTTCCCTTGACCCTAAATAAATCTGTGAACAATAAAGCAGTAAGACTCTGATACAGCCAATATGTAATGAAAATTTGTATCTTTTCCAAATGTCTTGGAATAGGTAGAGTGGGCACTGCCAACATCAGGCAGACTGCATGTAAATTACACTATGAAAGAAATCAAATCAAAAGGCAAAAAATAATCCAGGTGATCTATGTATGAGTCTTCTTTCCTCAAAACCCTAAATATCACTCTCTTTAAGCAGCTTCCTTTTTAGCCAAAGTCAGACATCCTCAAACGAACAGCCGAGGGGCTTAGGAAATCTTTAATGGTGTAAAGATACATATGCGTGGTAAATTTCCTGGTAAAAACTAAAATAAAAGCATTGGGAACATGAATAATGAAAAAGAGAAAAAAGGTGGTGAGAAGTATGTGATTATGACCGGAAACACAAAAACAACGGAGTTCATTTTTATTTAATTTTAATATCAATTTATTATCTCGGCAAAGATTTAAACAATAGAGAACCAACTTGCCTCGATCCCACTGTGTCCCTATAACTAACACATGTTGATGTGTACATTTCCAAAACTTTTTCTACGGACCTATAAATATACCTATCTGTCCGTGGGAGTATGCATTATTATGAGGGAGATTTTTCTCGGACGCCTTTCCACGACACTACATAGACTTATTCTATTCGTTCTAACATTTTAAGTCGGCCGTCCTAAAGAAACGAGTTTTCAAAGTCAAAAAACCTCCTCCGTTCCCGAAAATCTAAACTGGTGGACTGTGGGACGTACCGAAGTGGGGAAAAAATGCCCAATTCGAGGCATACAGGAACAAATGTACACTTTCCCTAACAAGGTGTACGGGATGAAGGCCTAAAGGCTTCGTTAGAAGTCATTGTGGATAAAATATCCACCCTCCCACGCCATCACGGGCATCGAATCCCCTTCCTCACAACCCCAAGTCTAAGACTTCCCTGGTTTGTAGAGCCGATTGGACTACGTGTCCGAGCGCCTTCCTTAGGCTGTCCGCATGTCCGCCTACTGGCTCCAGATTTGGTCCATCCATTTAACCGCCCGACCCCCGCATTCCCCATTGGAGTCAAACCGCTGCCTCTTGGAGAAGCCCAACCTACCGCGCGCTCGGTGCTCACTGGCTCAGTGAGACGCTGCTCAGGAGGGGAAAACCCGCCTCCCACATTCCGATGGCCCAAGGGCCGATCAGTCGGCAGCTCAAGGCAGACACAATTGGCCTATACACTCGCCAGTCACATTCGTCGGCCGCACAGCTCCAAAGTACCTACAGGGATAAGACATCCCGCCCCCTGTTCTACTATTGGTTGGCCCGACCCACCGCTGCCCCTTCACTTTCCCCCACCCCGCAGTCCATTCATTTCACACAATAACGGGCCCAGTTGGAGTCAGTTCAAGCCCTCATATGGGTAGATAAGACTGTGTGCCACTTACCCGGGATCGAGAATGATCACTCACGCTACCTTCTGCCCTATTCCTCTATGGTGAGACGGCACCACAAGCCACCTCTGCCGCCGCCTTCTGCGCAACGCCAACCGCCCGCCAAAACGGATCCTTCCCTGCGCCTGCGCAACCAATCCTGGGCCCAGACCCTTTCTCCGCCCATTACACATGCGCAAAGCAGAGCACAACTCCCGCCACGACGCAGGCGCCGTAGGTTCACCGCCCTCTCCCGCCCGCCATTTCACGTGTTTCCAAGAGGCAGGCGGAACTTCTTAATGCGCCTGCGTAAAGTCTCCATTTTATTACACATGCGCTCAACAGGCGGTTGTTGCAAAAAAAATTGTCACAGGCTATCTACTTTTTAATGTATGGTATTAATAATTCTTTGTCAAGCGAGTTAAATGTAACATTTCGGTGTGGAGTATTAAGAAGACGTTTAAACACCCTAGATAGATTCAAATATGAATGATTATTTGGCTAGCCAATCAGACTGGTTAAGGATAAAATTATTCGGGAACCAATAGACTTCAAGGGGTGGTGACTACGTAGACGGCCCAAACGGATGACGTTACACAGCAGTGTGGTACTACAGGCCAATAGTAGAGGTAAGTGATTTCAACTATCCAATCAGAGTTAGGTATGGGCGGAGTCTACCAATGCCGAAGCCTAGGAGGCGGGATAAAAAAGAGAGGCCGAAGGTAGGCTGGCAGATACGTTCGTTAGCTTACTCCTTTCTGCCTGTGGACGCTGCCGAGGAAGCATCGTTAAAGTCTCTCTTCCCACTGCCGTCATGTCTAAGTCAGAGGTGAGTCACAAGCCCTTTCCACTGTGAATTTCTTCCTTGCCCCATACTCAGTTCGGTAGGATGCGGCTTGGTTTCGTTGCTTGCACCAGCCCATTCGACGGTTCTTAGGTCGCTGCCAGGCCTACCCCTCCCAAAGTTCAAGTCGCCATTTTGTCCTCTTCGTCGCCATGAGGCCGCCGTCCGCCAACCACTGGTTATCACGCCTGGCTCGTTACTCGTTGCAAAATTCTGAGGCACATACGGTGTATTTTTTACCTTGTCTCGGTGAGCGAGTTATTTAAAGAGTTATTAATCCCTTTTTGGCGATGCACCCCTCCCGGCCAGGCCTTTTGTTGCGCGTGCGTCAGAGAGAGAGTAGGGACGCATGCGTGTGCAGCTTTCCAGCACTCCCAGCCGCCCCCAGCGTACTACCTCCCCTAATGGGGGGAAGCACGTGTCTTATTGCGACCCGAACGAACAATAAGTGCTGCGTACGCCAGCGTCTAGTTTTGCTTCTCCTTAATAGAAACTGTTTAGTATTAAAGCCCCGTTTAATGCTTTTTCCCCTACTTTAGTCTCCTAAAGAACCCGAACAGCTGCGGAAGCTATTCATCGGAGGGTTGAGCTTTGAAACGACCGATGAGAGTCTGAGGAGCCATTTTGAGCAATGGGGAACGCTCACGGACTGTGTGGTAAGGCTTGGAAGGGACAAAAGGCAATAGAATTAGTCAATTCCCTTGGCTTACCTTTGTGCGGTTTCTGTCTGAATGCTAATAAAGTTTAGCGGGATTATAGTTAGAAATAAAATGCCAAAGGAACTTGTTTTCTGATTTAAAAAGCTGCCTCTTAAATCTAGGGTAATGGGAAACTGTAGGGCTTTGTATGAAGGACTGGTATCAAGTTTCGTCTTATTCAAAAAGTTAGTGTCAGTAATTTCTGGGGTCAGGATATATACTAAATGAACCCTTTTCTCAGGTAATGAGAGATCCAAACACCAAGCGCTCCAGGGGCTTTGGGTTTGTCACATATGCCACTGTGGAGGAGGTGGATGCAGCAATGAATGCACGGCCACACAAGGTGGATGGAAGAGTTGTGGAACCAAAGAGAGCTGTCTCCAGAGAAGTGAGTGGTTTTTTATTTTTCCTAACTCCTCTTCCAGTACTCATTTGGAGATGTGCTGCTAGTATACTCAGACATGGGGAGTATTCTAAATTTAAAAATTTTTGATTGGAGGTTTTTTGCTAATGTAAGTAGCATAAATGGTTTTCCTCCTGTTAGGATTCTCAAAGACCAGGTGCCCACTTAACTGTGAAAAAGATCTTTGTTGGTGGCATTAAAGAAGATACTGAAGAACATCACCTAAGAGACTATTTTGAACAGTATGGGAAAATCGAAGTGATTGAAATCATGACTGACAGAGGCAGTGGCAAGAAGAGGGGCTTTGCTTTTGTAACCTTTGATGACCATGATTCTGTGGATAAGATTGTCAGTAAGTATCAAATCACTGGCATTTACTAAGGGTTCCAAAATCCTTGTGGCATTCTCAACCTTGAGATCATGTTCTTTTTATCTTGAAAATTTTTTTAGTTCAGAAATACCATACTGTGAATGGCCACAACTGTGAAGTAAGGAAAGCCCTGTCAAAGCAAGAGATGGCTAGTGCTTCATCCAGCCAAAGAGGTGTGTTTATTGTTTAATTAAACCTTAAAGATAACTCGAAGTTATTCCAGTATGTATGGTTTACCACTTAAACTTCTCTCTTAAGGTCGAAGTGGTTCTGGAAACTTTGGTGGCGGTCGTGGAGGTGGTTTTGGTGGGAATGACAACTTTGGCCGTGGAGGAAACTTCAGTGGTCGAGGTATGTGTGGTTAGCTAAGGTTTACTAAAAATTAATACGAAGCTTTTAATTTGATTTCTCTGTATGACTTGTCCTTTTTGTATCTTGCAATAAGACGTGTTCCTGGCCTACGGTTTCAAAGTTACATTTTTATCTAAATGTAGTTCTTTCTAACCAGAAGTTAAGATCTTTAATATGCAAATCTTTTTATTTACAGGGGTTGTTTCCCATACATAACTTAAATGGCAGTACATATATACTTCTAATCTAAAACTTTGTTTCTTTCCAGGTGGCTTTGGTGGCAGCCGTGGTGGTGGTGGATATGGTGGCAGTGGGGATGGGTACAATGGATTTGGTAATGATGGTAAGTTCTTTGAAGGAGTACATAGGTGAAAATACCTGTCAACTTCTATCTTTAGAGTAGGCTAGTAGAGACTAAAACTCTAGTGCATGACAAGTTCGACTTGGCCCATAACACGCATGCTGTGAGCAGGCCTTTAGCCATTGAACAAATTTTTATTGTTAAATACTTTTGTCTTATTGAGAAGAATTGTATTCTTATAGGTGGTTATGGAGGAGGCGGCCCTGGTTACTCTGGTGGAAGCAGAGGCTATGGAAGTGGTGGACAGGGTTATGGAAACCAGGGCAGTGGCTATGGCGGGAGTGGCAGCTATGACAGCTATAACAACGGAGGAGGCGGAGGCGGCTTTGGCGGTGGTAGTGGTAGGTATCCAGTGATCCAAGTACTTGGTGTGATAGCTAGATTAGCCTCTTAGAGTTTGTGCCCATATTGGGGTTTGAAGCTCTTAAAGCGTTGTGTGGTACACTGCATGGTATATTAAAAATAGGTTTGCTATGCTACCTCCTCCTAGCTTTAAGCTGGGGCCGCCTCACTCCCAAATAAGTAGATGGATAAGTGGATAGTGGTGTGTTTTGAGTTAGATTAGCATCATGGCAGGATTTAGTATATTAACTCCTTTGGGACCGTAGCCATTTAGTTGATACATCCAAGGAACTTACGTTTGCAGTGGCCCTGAATCCATAAAGGCCTTAAGACAGGAGAGTATGCTTGTAAATGCCACCATGAAAAACTCTTAATGTCATGGCAAGTTGGATCATTGCACTGCATGCCTTCCCCAGAGAATGAAATACAAATATTTGGAGCCACCAGAGTTGGGGAGGAAGACAGATAATACAACCTTCTTTTGTTGAAAATACTAAATAGAATTGGGACCTATCATCTTCCTCAAGTAACAGACAAAGGCCCTCTTTCCATTCCTAGGAAGCAATTTTGGAGGTGGTGGAAGCTACAATGATTTTGGCAATTACAACAATCAGTCTTCAAATTTTGGACCCATGAAGGGAGGAAATTTTGGAGGCAGAAGCTCTGGCCCCTATGGTGGTGGAGGCCAATACTTTGCCAAACCACGAAACCAAGGTATAGTGTCAGCGTAATATTGGATAATGTCAGGGGACTGAGTGTATCTATAGCTACTACTGGAAAGCAGTGGATTAGCTCTTTGGGATGGTATATGTGTGAGCAATAAAAAGCTGGGAATTTAGTATAGGCACCTGCAGTCCCAGCTACTTGGGAGTCTAATGCAGGAGGATTCCTTGAGCCCAGGAATCAAGTCCAGCCTGGGCAATAAAGCAAGACCCCCCATCTCTAAAATTGAAATATTAAAAAAGCTGACAATTAAAAACCTTCAAAAGGGGATAATTTGCAATTAAATTGGAAAAATAATGTGGACTCTTTACACCTCCATTGTCAGTTCTACTGGGGCCATTTTAAAATAGTCAAATTCTTGAATTTAAGCTTTTGAACATTATTCATTATCTTAAATACAAAAACATTACTAGTGGCACTTCCAAACCTTAAAAGAAAAATTTTGTTCTCAGGTGGCTATGGTGGTTCCAGTAGCAGCAGTAGCTATGGCAGTGGCAGAAGGTTTTAATTATTCCCAGGTAAGTGAGCACCTTTTTGTGTGTGACTTGATTTCTTGAATTGCTGATGAACCCAGTAACCCTAATGTAGCTGAGCAGTGCAACATAGTTAACGTTGTAATTGTAGTAAAATTGTGGATATTAAGTTAATATTCAGATCAGCAAAATTTGTGGGAACAAAACTTGCTGTTGGATTGTAGCCATGAGTCTTAATATGTTTAGATTAACAACTTTATTCCATATTGTTCAACAGGAAACAAAGCTTAGCAGGAGAGGAGAGCCAGAGAAGTGACAGGGAAGCTACAGGTTACAACAGATTTGTGAACTCAGCCAAGCACAGTGGTGGCAGGGCCTAGCTGCTACAAAGAAGACATGTTTTAGACAATACTCATGTGTATGGGCAAAAAACTCGAGGACTGTATTTGTGACTAATTGT